TGTGTTCGGATTGGGAAAAGCTTAAGTCTAATGTCACACAAAAGGTGGAACTAGCATGAAATGTTGCCAGTACTTGTGAGTTTTCTAAGCCTCTGAGTGTCACCTTGGTTCACTGGGATTGGATACAACTGCAAAGCCCAGGGACTGGCAAGGATGTCCTCCTTTGGCTGAATCTTCCTGGGTCTCCACCCTGGATTGGCCATCCAGGTTCACCCCACACACACATATACACACACCTTCTACAATCTGCAATCCAAGTTCACATGTTCACATAATTACTCCTTTACCACTACAACTTCTCACCCACCCTAGACATCCCTACTCCCCCTGGGTACCTCTACACACAACGCACAGACACCTTCTTTACTCCTCCCAAGCCCATTTCATCTTCTGATGGCACACAAGTGATGAGTTCCTATGTATCAGGCACGATGCTAGGTATTTGGGCATCACAGGGCCACCAAAACTCACACATCTGTTCCCCACATGAACAGACTTTGCATGCACTTTCGCACGGCCCATTAAACATAAGCACATGTATCCCCCAGATGATACATACATATGCCCTTAGAAACATTCTGTTCACGCCCTTCACATTATCTGGCTGTACTTATTCTGGTCTCTGGTTTTTTTTTCTTCATTTTCTCTTTCTGTTTGTTTCTCTATCATCTTAAACTCTGTCATCTTAAAGACAGATAACAAGAAGGTAGTAAGGTATGAGGTTTGTGAAACAGCCCAACTTTGAGGCAGGTTCTGGCATATTACTTACATTTATCTTCAAAACAGACCTCCCTCCCTCCCTCCCTCCTCCAGGAAAAAGCCCTGAACTCCTCCCAGGAATGGTGAGGAGGGGAGGCTGTGGTGAATAGGAGCAGCTTTAGTGAGGTCAGACTGCTGGTTGCTCAAAGACTGTCAACTGCAAGCCAGGCACAGTGATTCTTGCTTATAATTCTAGCACTCTGGGAGGCTGAGACAGAAGGATCACTTGAGCTCAGGAGTTGGAGACCAACCTGAGCAAGAGTGAAATCCTGTCTCTACTAAAAATAGAAAAATAAGCCAGGTGTAGTGGTGGGTGCCTATAGTCCCAGCTACTCAGGAGGCTGACACAGAAGGATCACTTAAACCCAGGAGTTTGAGGTTGCTGTGAGCTAGGCTGGCACCATGGCACTCTTACCTGGAAACAGAGTAAGACTCTGTCTCGGGGGAAAAAAAAAAAAAAGACCATTGAATGCAGACCCCACTGATTAGGAGGCAGAATGGGTGCGGGGGGGGGTGGGGGGGGCGAGGGAGGGATTACTTCCCTGCTCACCCAACCAGAAGTTGGCTGCAGCCGTGACTCTGATGTCCTCTTTGGCATGCTTGTGTCAGTGGATGCCTATGCAATTAGGTTCCACTCTCTCCTTTCAGATATTTCCAACCTCCCACATCCTCCCCAGAGACCAGTTTCCCCCTCCCTTCAAAACCTGCTCTCAAGCAAGGCTGTGAAACTTCTTTGAGGATCACAGAACTAAAGTTTCAAAATTAAAGAAACTCTGCTCTGTTCTGGGGATAAGACACAATTGTAAGAGGGACTTTACCTAACAAATGCAATCACTGTAACCTGGTTTCTTATACCCTCAATGAATCCAAATATATATATAAAGAAACTCTGCTCTGGAGAGGACACTGGAAAAAGGAAAATGAGGTAGTGGGGGTATTGGGGAGCCAAGGATGTGTTCATGTTTCTTTGAAGACAGGTCCAAGCAGGAGGCCCAAGTCTACACCGTGAAGATGAGCAGAGCACCTTCTGGAGAGGCCAGGGGAGTGGCCACCCTTGCCTTCCTGGCTTCCTCCACTGGAGCGAGCTAGTGGGTTCCTAAGGCAACTGTGCAGATGCCAGGGAGAAGGATGAGGTAAGGTACAGGGAAACGAGTTCTCTAAGTTTCAGGTTACAGGGGAGCAGGCCTCTGTTTCACTGCCAACTGAGGGAGCAATTCATTTTTAGCTCCCAGTGGGCCAGACACAGGAGGGAGAACACTCAAGGCAGGCACACAGTACACAGAAGACAAGGGTGGGTGATTTATAAACATTCAGCCTATCCTCAAGAAACTTAAAAATTAGTACACTCAACTAGATAAAAGGAAGATAAAGAGATTAGCCTGGCTGGAGACAATCAGAAAGTACAAGGTGTTAAAGAGAGATTGGAACTTTATTGAGACTTTCTCCCTGATGAAATCAGAATTGAAAGAACACTGGAAAGGTTCAGCAATTGTTCAGGCACAAATATTTACAGATACTCCTCCTGGGGGAATCTCTGGATCCTATTTTCCCCAGCTCCCAACCTCTTCCCCACAAAAAGTCCATATTCTGGGTGGAACCCACCTCCACAGAGCTGGGCAGAAACTAGGCACTTAATGTCTGTACTGACTGACTTGCAGGCCTGTAGGTAGCAGAGAAAAAATTAAATCCAAGGTCAAGAAGAACACAGTGAGAGAGAGGAGGAACATCATGAGGAAAATCGATGGAGGGAAGAAAACCCCAGGTGTGGGGAGCACACTGATAACATGGCCCCCCTGAAAATATAAATATTGTATGAATATATTAGCCTCACTCCATCCACTTCCCCCCAAGCCATGGTGACATCAGCAGCATTGGCAATGCCCACACAAGTCGGCACTGTGCTGAGAAAAGCAGATTCTGCCAAAGCAGGTCCAGGGTGTAAAGCAGCAGGCAGGAGAAA